TTTCATAACAAAAATACCCTAGAAACCCATAGAAATGTGCACCAATCACCACCATACACCACCACCACCTACTAAGACCTCCATCACCAACACAAATTCATGTTGTCGTTACAGCTAATATAAAATCATGTTATATATAATAAATGGGAAGTAGAACTTATCAACCTTGATGAGGATGTCCTCAAACATTCCCCTAGGCTTCTTAACAAACCTATCGGCTAATTGGAGTACCACCATTCAAATCCAAATTTTAGTCGATTCAAATCTATAAAAATAAAAATTAAAAATAAACAACTCCAAATTTTCTCACCTACTTCGTATCGTGAAGCATCATGTTTCTACCAGGATGAATAAAGAACTAAGAGTTTTGAAACTCAGTCCTTACATCTTCCATCCAATTTGTCTACAGTAAAACATCTGTTTATGAACTCTATTTGCAACACTGTAGTGCTCGAAATGGAAGAATAACCAATGTCATTGGCAGGAAGAATATCCAATGTCTTTGGTGGATTATTAACAATTTTAACCTTTTTATATAAACTCTGGCATACCACTTTTGGGATCTTTGGTTGGAGCATTAGCAATCAGTCACCCATATAAAAACGAAAAAGTAAATTTAATTACAAAATGAAATATTAAAAAAAAAAAAAAAAAAAAAAACTCAACTAGATATTGTTTTCTAATGGAAATCCAAAGTGACACAAACAAAAATTATTTTAAACTCATTGCCATCAATCTCACCAAAATCAATATCTCTCATGAGTCACCACTAACCACAAACACAAACCCCCTAGCAGACCCAAGACCCAACTATAAACCAAAAAAATCAAAAACCCCATCCCCAATACCCAAACCCTAGTTACAAGTAGTAGTTAGAGAACCCAAGACCCATTCAGAGGTCTCGCTTGGGCCGAAACACCATTGAATTAAGGTTCGATCCTTTTCTTGAACAGGCCAGTGGGCTAGCAGTACTAGGTTCCTACTTTCCAAAGGGAGGTCAGGGGTTCGAGTAGGGCTGCAAATGAGCCGAGCCAAGTCGAGCTTTGGCATGCTCGGGCTCGGCTCGCCATAATCTGGGAGGTGCTCGGGCTCAGGCGAGCCTAGAATAGCCAGGCTCGATCTCGGCTCGTTAGAAAATCGACGAGCTCGGGCTCGGCTCGGTTCGGGCTCATTTATGACTCAGATCCAGTTTTAAAACCCCCGATTCCTATATCTGCCTTGTCCCAAGTAGTTGCATCAAAACCAGCTAACGGAGTTGATGAATAAGATGGGTGAAGCAGGGGAAGCTATCAGATCGGGGTAGCGACTACCAACAATTGGCCGGATTGTTCCAAATGAATTATCTGCGCACAGATATAGATACACAGCACACACACACACACATATATATAGTGCCACACATATATACAAGTATATATAATACAAAATAGATTAGTGTATATATATAACACAAATATATCAATACGTGAAGTCAAGAGACTTCAAATCTTACCTTATTCAGGTAAGGGATACTGGGGCGGTAGACAAGCGTAAGAGAGAATAGTTGCAGAGAAGGAAAGAAGAGAGTAGAGAAGAGAGGGGCTGCCGCAGAGAATGAAATTAGAATATAGGGTTTGTTATGTTAACATAAATGAGTTGGGTCTTTAAAATGAATATGGGCCATTTTTTTGTTTTTGGGCTTTGTTATTTGGATGGAGTAATGGTTCAAATGGGCTTATTATGTATAATTGTAATGGACTCACACATATGGGCTGGATCAAAAACTTATAAATGGCTAATAAACGAGCCATATACGAGCCTTGTTCACGAGCCTAAACAAGCCTTATACGAGCCTTGTTCACGAGCCCATACGAGCTGAGCTTAACGTTGTTCGGGCTCGGCTCGTTTACTAAACGAGCCTAGAAATTGGGCTCGAGCTCGGCTTCATCTGCTTAACAAACGAGCCCGAACAGAGCCCTTAGCGAGCCGAGCCCGAGCTGTTTATGAACAGCTAGGTTCATTTGCAGCCCTAGGTTCGAGCATCGGTGGAGGCATGTGTGTATGAGTAAGAAAAAAAAAGGCTCAATCCTTTTCTCGATCGAAATCTTCATCACTGCCAAGGCAATTGTTGCAATCATCACAATAACACCACACTTGCACCAACACCAACACATCCGTCTACGCCACTATCACCATAATTGGCAATGGCGCCACCAGTATCCCCATCCAAAACCACCACCATTAATTAATAAAATTCTATAACACAATCTTCACTAATCCACCAGCGGCGTCACTACCGTAATTACCGGAAACCTATGTCTCATTGTTCCTGCCTTTGCAACATCGCCGTTGCACCTTTCCTAATCTATTTAATGGCACTGTGTATTCCGGTGAATGACCAGCATAGTGAGCTCATTAGTCCATGGTGGCGGCGACAGCAACAGCTTGCTCGATGATGAGGCGGAGGACGACGAGGCTAAAGTTCAGTACCACCAAGTCATCAACCATTATTGAGTTTTGGTGGGGGGAGATGATGGCAGCAGTTGTGGGGGTAAGGGATGGTAGTGGCGTTGATGGAGAGAATATGAGGAGAGACAAAAGATGAGCAGATTAGGGTTTTGTTGAAATAATTAGGGGTACTTTTGTCTTTTAAGAAATTTGATATTTTTTTTATTAAAATATAGTAGTATTAAATAAGTGAGGTCATAAATGATGGAGTATTTCATAATTTTTTTAGATGGAAATCTGAAATAAGAGTTAAAATAATAATGTTCATTTACTTGATGTTTGAGTGAGCTTTGGACAATAAGAAGTGAAGTCTTAGTGTGCCACAAGCCTTATTAGAAACATTGATACATGGTCATATATGCTTGTATCTATTTTTAGGTTAAAGCACACCCCTTGAGGTTTGCCGTAAGGACAACTATAACGAATGGGCGCTTGTCCATTTACCCAAAAACTCAAACTATTAGGTAGTTCTGCATACCCGCCCATTTATACCCAATCACTTTCCCTTTCAAATTCGATGTGGGATAAATGACCCTTGTTACATTCTCTCCCACCCAAATTCGTAACGCCCAAGACAAATGACCCTTGTTACATTTTCCCCCACCCAAACTCACAGCCCTCGTTGTGGCTTGGGCCACCCTGCCTACTCGAGCTAGCTTACCCGGACGCTTAGCATGACATCAAAGACTGGGTCGGACTCTAATACCAATTGTAATAGGTGGGAGCTTTACCATTTATCCAAAAGCTCAAGATTTTGGGTAGTGCTGCATTCCCACCCATTTATACCCAATCACATTCCCATTCAGATCCGATTTGGGACAAATGACCCTAGTTACAACAACCACATACAAATTGAGTGTTTTTTTGGACAATGACACCGTCTTAAGTTTACTTACTTTGACAACAAGACACCCCTGAGTGCTCTAACAAATGATAAAATGACCTAAAAGCCTTTTGACTTGTAAAATAACACTTTTAAATAGGGAAATTACAAATTTACCCATACTACCTAATTTGAGAAGTCTAAAATAACCTCTTAAGTACCTACCCGCAAAGGCACCACCACCTCTTTGTTGCCGCCACCACCTATTATTTCTTCTGCTCATTCTTTTTCTCTTATGTATAATATATAATGGATTGGATTGCAATTGTGTGTGTGTGTGTGTGTGTGTGTGTATATACACACACACACACACACACACACACAATTGCAATCCAATCCATTCTTACGCTACCCTAACCTAGGGATGGCAATTTATCCCACGGGGACGGGTACCCGCCCCCCCTGTTTATAGCGGTTTTAGGAGACGGTTTAACTTATTTGGACAAGGATGATTTTTATTAATGAAAACCACTCTGGAAACCTTTAAGTTACATTCACTTTCTCAACTATTTCAGTGAGCAGCAGCGGGTGTCCACGGGGTAAAAAAGTTAAACAAGGCGGGGATAGAGTGAAAAGGTCCCCCGCTTAGGTGATTTTGGATGGGGACGGGATGGGGATTTCTAAACGGTTTTGGGGGCGGGAGAGGGTACATCCGCCCAAAACTACCCCCGTTGGCATCCCTACCTTAACCTTCCCCAAATTAATCATAAAATTTCAGCGTCCAAATAGTGGAGACCCAAACACTAGACACCATTTTTCTCTCTAACCCAAATATGTTGTTTGGGTCCTCTATCGCCTTCGACGAGTCCAAGGCCTCCATAATTCAAGAACACAATCTCGAAACTTGGTTACATGAAAGCAGACTAATAGGAGAGAATGAACACCCATTGACAACAACAAAAAACTCCCAAAACAACCATCACTGATAACAAAACAACCACCAAAACCGCTGACAACAAAACAACCACCACCGTCGCAGACCTAGCCAGAATAGATCCATCGAGTCCCCCTCAGGCTTTGCATCATTCCCGATGACAATACCCACAACTATATCCAACCCAATTTCATTTGAAGCATTAAACCCTAAGACCACATCCCGGTCCCAAGGCTACCTCCCACGCCTTCGTCGTCAATTCACTCGCCAAGCAATCGCCAGATCAGAGCTTTGTCAATAAGTCATCGCCCGAAGAAGCTAGTTATCAATAAGGCATCTCTCAATAACCCCAATCTCAGCTTGTTCCTTCTGAAACTTGTGCGTGATACAATCGCCGCCGGTGATGGCCCGAGCAAGGCTTCGGACTACGCTTTTTGAGCTTCGAGCTGTTCGCCATCAACGGTGAGCTGGACTAGACGATGGACCTTGTAGAAGATAGAGAGAGAAATCAATGGACACTTGTTTAGGGGCTGAAAGGGTTAGATGAATTCTGATGCCTAGTTGGTAATTGTGGAAGGGTAAAAACGTCATTTCAAATTTATGATATTTAAGATTAAAATTAATTATAGATTAATAGACAATTTTGACTTTTCATATAAAATCAAATAAAACTAATAAAATTCATCCTCTCCTTTTTTATCTTTGATTTTCTAGTTTTTTTTTTTTTTTTTTTTTTTTTGGGTTCGAATAACTCATACCCTGTACATTTTAAAGACCAGACTATCGACACCCAGCGGTTCAAATATATTAAGGTTCTAGGCAGGTTAGACTTCTTTGCCCTTCTCTACACCATCTCACTTTGCAAAACCCAGATCTTTACTTCGTAGGCTTTGTTTGTGCCGTTCGAAAGGCATTTCACTCAAACGTAACGACCTATGGTTAGGGTTCTAGAGATTGTTTTCCCTATTCCTATATCTCAAGGTAAAGGCTACTGCAATTGTCAATTAGTTTAACTAAAATTGATCTATATGGGGATCTAACAATTTATTTGTTATTCTTATATTTATATAGTTTTTGGTCTTACATATGCATCTTTAATGATTGAATTGTCAGAATAAGCATACACTCCTCGATCCTTATTCAGATGTACAATTTCATTTTTTTCTTTGTAGAAATAAAGAGATGGATCCAGACTCAATTAAATCGACTCTGTCCAATTTAGCATTTGGAAATGTAATGGCAGCAGCAGCTCGTAATTATCAAAAGGTATTTTTTGAATTATTTTCCTATTTTTCCTAATTTCATAAATACTTCCCTATTTAATCTTTTTCATTTTTGAACATGAACTTAGTTTTGTTAGGGAAGTTCCTATTTGATATGTATTTAATATGATTTACGATCTGTCCCATTATTAGTCTGTTTATTCTGTTTTACTTCAGTATATATTTATATATGTGTGCGTGTGTGTGTGTGATAAAATTAGGGACAGAAAATACAATTTAAGACTCAGGAAGGTTAAATTGACTATGTAAGGAAAATGGATAGTGTAATGTTAATTAGTTTCACATTGCTAGTAGAATATTGCAGTGCTGATTGTTATGGTGTTTCATTTAACTTACAGGAATTGTTATCTCAAGAAAGGGTACAGGAATCTACCTCTGTTAATGAGGAGGTTGATCTTAATGAGCTGATGAACGTAAGTTGGATAAGGCTTCTACATTGCATATTACTTGCCTAGAAAATAAAACTATCTACTTTGCTTCCTTTGCGTTCATGTATGTTTAAACTCCATATTGTGTTTACATACTGTAATGACCCGGTCATTTTTCTTCCTTTTTTTTTTCTCAGATTTTAACGGATATTTTTTTCCGTTGTCTTTTCCTTTTTGGGTTCGGTTTTTCATCACTTGATGTCGTCTCGAGTGCTCTGGAATGATTTCCAAAACTCTTTTCCTTAGATTGACAACTTCCTTTGGGGATTGTGTCATTTCCATATTTTATTTTTCCGAACACTATTCACATTTTGTCTTTTTCTCGTTTATCCTTTTTCCTTGCACAACCTCACTTTTTGTGCTCGGATTTAATTCCAGTTTTGTATGCATTCATGATATTTGATTTCCATGATAATGGTATTTTTACTTTTCTGAAAAAAGCATGTTGATTACTTACTTCTTTCATAAAGGGGCATTAATGCATACTTTAGTATAATTATTCTTAACTTGTGGGGTTTTAGTGTTATTAAATAAAGTAATTATTTTTCATCTTGGGGACCATTTTGCAATTAAATTTGGAAGATATTTTCAAAAAGGACCTTTTTGCAATTTTTGAAAAGTGTGACAAGTGTCACACTCTCATTGGTCCACTTGTTGACATTTGTGTGGAAACACTTTAATGCATTGGATGATGACATTTGGAGGGTGAGGATTCACCCACTTGTTAGCCTAGGATTGGTGCACTTATTGGCTTGGATGGTTGACAAGTGTAGGTATGGGATTAAGCCTAGGAAGGAGCCATGGATTGGTGACAAGTGTAAGTTCACAATTTAGTCTTGCAAATATCTTTGGGCCACTTTGGGAATATGGTTTTAAAGGAGGGTTTTTGTGCAATTGACCATAAATGTGTGTGTTGACCATGGTGTAAGAGCACATAGTGAGTGGAGGATTTCTATTTCCTCCACTCACATGTAACCACATTATTTCATTCTCTTCCTTACAAGAAAACCCTAGCCTCCATGGATGGAGCTTGAAGCCTTAGGCATTGACCTTGATCTTTGAGGCCCTTCCACTTACTTTAGACCATAAAGCTTGGAATACTTTTTGTCCCCCTCATCCTCCTTTTTGAAACCCTTGAAGGATCTAGCCTAACTCTTAGTTTTGCTTTGGTATCTAGAGATTCAATTCTCTAGTGAGGTATTGATCTATTATTTTGAAGTATTTTTATGTCATTATTGAGTGTTTTACATGCATGGAAGGGAAGGACTTGTATTTTTTCCTTAAACTGTTTTAACTTGAATTAATCTTGTCAAAATTAAATATAGAATATGAAAATATACTCAATTAGCTTTCATTTAGTTTTGGTTTCATGTAATTTGGATTTAAAATGAATTAGTTATGAATTTTTGAAGTTTCAAGCTAGTTGCTAGAAATTTGAAGCTTTTCTTTTTTGGTCCGGAAATGAATTTTTTATATGGAGCTGTGGTGCTTCAATTGCCATGAAATTCTTACTGGAACTTTCGCCATGGGTTTTACACTACTTAGAATTTTTTCACAATTTTAGAGCATTTCTAAATTTTTTTTAAAATCCGAAACTATCTGCTATCCATGTTCTTATTGCAGCTGGAAAACATATTTTTAGATGATTTATTTCACTAACCTTTTGACATTGGATCATGGCTTAAATTTCCAGTTTTACACTCTCATATGTTTACTTCCAAAATAAATTAGGTTTGCCCAATTTGGATGTCAAATGAATTTTTCATGAATTTTCAAAGTTGGAAGCTACAAGCTGAAAATGTGTTTTCTGGGCAGAATTTGTTTCAAAGTTGTGGGTCAAAACTGTTTCAATTGGGAAAATATTTTGTTAAACTAAATTGATATTATCAAATTACAGTATTTAAGCTTTCATTGGGCTTTGGATTCATTCAATTTGGGTTAGAATTGAATTTTTTATGAATTTTACAAGTTGGAGGTAGCAAACTGAAAAATCTGTTTTGCAGACCGAAAATTTGGGGCGATTTCATTTCGGTGGTAATTGGGATTTTCATTCCAATTGAGGTAGGGAATGTTTTAGGATTATTTGTATGTTGTATTGTGTGTTTGCCATGATTATACAACATATATGTATGTCTTGTACCAAATCTAGAAAGTTAGTAATTTTTATTTCTTTGTATAAGATTTAAAATTTATGATGATGTATAACTTTGATTTGAATTGTAACATGTTAGGAAATTATGCTTAGATATGTTGGTTAACATATATTAAATTTGGATCATTTGATTAAGAACTACAACTTTTATTTAATATTTATCTTTAGTGAAAGTTTAATTCACATGGTTGTATCAAGCATTAAATCAAGTTGTAATGTGGTATTTAAATAGGCCTTAGCATGTTCTCTAACATAGATTAAATTGAGGGCATTTGGAATTGTTTAAAAATCTAGAGGAAATTAATTAATTAGCTTGATTAATTTTGTTTTAAGTGTTTTAATCACTTAACTTGTCATTTGATGTTATATATATGATAACCATGACATGTCTTTCAATATATATTAAATTGAGGTTATTTTGATTAACTTGAAATTTAGAGAATTTAACTATTTATGTTTAATTAAATTCTACTTTATTACTCCATGGATTTAATTGCATTTTGGAAGTTGTTTCTATATTTAAATCATGGATTTGAATTCGGTGTATGTTCACTTGATTACTTTTGAGAATTGGATAACATAGTTGTTATTTTTATATTCATGAGAATATGTTTTCCTTATTGGATATATTGTTGCTATGTGTAAGGAATTGCGCACCTTGTATTTGACATCTTTCATGCCATAGTAATTGTAGACTTTGAGCATGTATTGTATATGTTTCTAAAATTGGATTGTGCTTGGTAAATAGTTGATATCTTGTATATACATGTTGATATATACACGTTGTTACATAATTTGTTGATTTTGAAAACTTGGGAATGTCGTTGTTTGGTTACGGCTAGGACTTGGTTCTAGTACGGGGGATTGTCCCTCTATATAGTCTAGTGCGCACATAGGGAGGTTACCCATGGGCTAGTAACCCTAAAGTAACTATGTTGTCGGTCTGATCCGGCATGACGTCTGAGTATCCACTTTATTTGATTTCGTATTTCATTTCAAATTGATAACTAGATGATATCGTAACTTGTTGTTCCTTATTTGATTTCCTATTTTGAGCTTAAGATGTAGCTTTGTGAAAGCATGTTTCATGCGTTGTATTGGAAGTTCCATTGTTGGTTAAATTGCATTGATATCATAATTTGTATTTTGATGTTCAAATGTAGTTTAGGAATGACCTTATAAATTCATTTTGAATATAGACGTTAGGTGGCATGACCCACACTTATTGTTTTCGTATTTTGGATTTCAAGTTGAAGACTTTGAGAATCTATATCTTGTTGCCTTGTATAACATGTTTCCATGTTGTTTGAATTGTATGAACAATGTGATTATGAGAGAAATGATCTAGGTAGCTTAGGATGCTCCCTGGGTCTCATCTTGACATAGACGTTAGGTGGCATGAGCCCCTTTAACATGTTTCACCATAAGGTGATAAAATTGTAAAATGTTAGGTCGATGCATGCTCATCTCCTACGAGTAGCTTTATGTTACTCACCCCTACGATACTGGGGCATATTTCAGGTACAGGACTCAGGATTTGAAGATTCCATTGCTCCTTGGATGGCTTACAGTTTCTAAGTTTCTATTTTATACAAGTGTTAGCATAAGATGCCTCTTTGTAGCCCTATTTGTTTAAACTTGTATTCGTTGATTCGTATATGTAAAGTGTACGTAAGTGCACTCTTTTCAATGTATTTAACATGTATGAGATGAGTCCGGAGGCCAATGACATGTATCTCGTTTTCTATGCACTTTTGTTTTTAAAGTTTTTATGAAAATATTAGAAAATGTTAAGTCATTGCTTCATAACTTTCGCATCGGGTGTTGGAATTTCATATCTTTTCTGCCCCGACTCAGAATCAGACGATTCTTAAGTCTAATTTTGTTCATTTTTCGTTGTCCATCCAATGGTGTGCACGGTGGCACCCTTTTCAGTGAGAAATGACCATTTTACCCTTAGTTCATCTCTTTTCAGGTTAGGCATTCTTGCTTCATTTGCTTGGCTCATTTGAGTTCCGTGGTTTCGTGGAGAGTCATTTTGGGGCCTTAGGGATGACGTACATCTCTTGAGGTCATTTGGCTTCTTTTGCTTCCGCATTTTGGATCCGTTATCGGGTCAACTTCCGGTTCATCACTAACGCACCGGGTTGAGAAATCCGAGTCGTCACACATACACTTGGTGATATCAGGATCCTGAACTGGAAAAATTACATGCAGATAAGATCACGGCTCTCAAGGTCGGTAATTTTTTTATTAAATGCATCAGCATACAGTTTGGTATTTTGATTTGGGGTAAACTATCTAAATTTGGAAAATTCATTTTGCTTGAATTTTATTTGAATAGAAAGAAGCTAAAAAGCGATAGGCATTGAAGAAGCAAGGGCATAGAGAGTATAAGGAGATAACAGAAGGTGTGACGGCCTTGGATTTCCAAACCTAGTGCGTCCTCTGTTAACCCGTTAACGGATCCAAAAATACAGAAGCAAAAAGGTAAACCAAGGTCTTTAGAGATGTACGTCATCCCTAAGACACAAAAAAGGCTTCTCGAGCAGTCCCGAGACTCAACGGAAGTAAGAAGAAACAAGGGTTTTGAAACCTCACAAGAAATATACCAAGGGTAAAATGGTTATTTCATATAGAAATGGTGTAATGACCCGGATTTTTAAGGATATTTTTTTTTTCCGTTGTCTTTCCTTTATGAGTTCAGTTCCTCTTCGCTTAGTGTCATCTCGAGTGCTCTGGAGTGATTTTCGAGACTCTTTTCTGTGGATTGACAACTTCCTTTGAGGACCGAGTCGTTTTCACATTTTTCGTTTTTCGACACTATTCACTTTTCGTCCTTTTCCCTATTTTGTCTTTTCCCCGTTTGACACTTTGTTGGCATAACCACACTTCTTGTGTTCAAAGTTGGTTTTTAACTTCATGTGTCTCCATCTTGAGTGGTTTCCACGAAATACGTATCTTTACTTTTGCAAGAAAGTACTCTGGTTGTTCCCGGTGTCCATAGGGGCATGGATGCAAGGTTCTTTGAAATTATTTTCTTTTCTTGGTGTGTTTTTCGTAAATATCTTTTGGAAGATATTTTATTTTAGGAGTTTTTAAGAAAATATTTTTGGAAGATATTTTCATTTTGGGCCATTAGTGCAGTTTTCACTTTTTGGAGGGGCCATTGTGCAATTAATGAAAGTTATTGCTAAATGCCTTGTTTTGAGCCTGGATCCTCGTACGGGATTCATTTTCACTTTTCGTCGAGTCGTGTACTCTTAGAAATTCCTTCAGGTCATTGTTTTCCAGTTTTAGGATTTCTGGCCCCAATTAATGCCAAACTTGTTTGGGGTATAACTTTCTGCTCGGGACTCAGTTTTTGATGCAATTTCTTTCGTTGTTCATATTTTCTCATTTTGAATCTTTTTTATTCATAGATTTTTGTCATTTGAGCGCGTCTGCTCAAATTTCACTTTTTCGGACCCGGCGGGGCCCGTTCGGGGCACTTTTTGAGATTCTATAAAAGAGGGATGAGATATTTTATTTTTTCATCTTCCCCACTCTCTTGCACGACCTGAAGCTTCCATGGCAGCCCAAGGGAGGCTGCCACCTTCTCTCTCCTCTTTTGAGCTTTATTCCTTCGTCAGAACATAGAAGGGCATTTGCGTTTAGTGTTCGTGTTGACTACGCACTTCTTTCACCCTTATTAAAACCCATTTCTGACCATTCTTTGAGTTTGGGTTCAAAGTTAAGTTGTGAATTTGATGGGACTTCCTTGGGGGTTATGTGCACGGTGTAGTCCCCGATAAAACCTAGAAGTTTCGTCGGATTCGGAGCGGTTTCCATTTGGTGGCTTTTGAGATCTTCATCTCAAATTGAGGTAGGGGATGTTCTAGGCTTTTATGTGTGTTGTATTGAGTGTTTAGCATGATTATACAATTTAATTGCATGCCTTGTATCAATTCTAGAAAATTAGTATTAATTATTTCTTTGTATGAAATTTAATTCACAAGGATGTGTATAACTTAGAATGGAATTGTGGCATGCTAGAAAATCATGTTTTAATATGTTTGTTAACATATATTAAATTGGGATTAATTGAATAAGAATTGCACTTTTTATTTAATATTTATCTTTGGTGAAAGATTAAATCCCATGGCCATACTTTTCAAGAAATGAACTTGTAGTATGCTTTTAAATTAAGTCTTAGCATGTTTGTTAACATACTTTAATTTGAGAGTATTTGGACAAGTATGAAAATCTAGAGATTTTAAATTAAATAATTAATTAAAATCTATTTAATGGTTCCCTTGGCCCAATTAAGTTTTTTACTTGATAATCATGATGACTAGGACTTGTGTACTAGTATATATTAAATTGGGACCATTTGAAGTTGCTTTGAAATTTAGAAGTTTAATTATCATGATATAATTAAATTCTACCTTGTTATGCCATTGGCCTAATTGAGATTTTAGTGAATGTATGTATATACTATGCTATATTGTATAATATGCATTGATTAGGGGCCATTTGATTGAGATTTGAAAGCTAGGGAATTTAATTAGTTTATTTGATTAAATTCCATTTCTATTGCTTTAATGATTAAATCCTGAAATTGGCATTGATAGTATGTTTGAAGCATGATTTTAGACTTGTAATAGATTTATAAATTATGTTTTCAATATTGAATTATATTGTTATAGCGTGTAGTGAATCGCACACTGAATTTGACATGTGATGTTATTATAGCGCGTAACGAATCGCGCTCTGAATATTCGATATTGTCATCCTATAGTTGTTGTGGATTTAGAGCATGTGTTGTGTGGTTACAACCTTCTTGTGCATGAAGGTAGTTTCGTGTACTGTTTAATACATATATAATTTGTTAACTTATTTATTTTGGAGTTGTTTGGGACATTGTTAAGCTGTGATGGCTATGGTTTGGCTCTAGTACGGGGACAAGAGTCCTCTAAGTCAAAAGTTCGCGCGTTGGGTAGGCTGCCTGGGGGTTAGTAGCTCCAAATTAGCCCTATAAAGTTCGCACATTGGGTAGGCTGCCTGGGGGTTAGTAGCTCCAAATTTGCCTTGTCTCAGCGGAAATCCGAGCTGTGATGTCCAAGTTTCCACTATTTGATTTCGCATTCAATTCCAAGTTGACAACCAATGTTTAATTGTGACTTGTGGTTTTGGTAATTGGCGATTTGATGTTGTTAAGTACATCCATACTAAATTGATATATTTAGTTGATTTCACACTTTTAGATTGCTAGTTGATAACCTAGAGAATCTATGTCTTGATGTGTAGTATTAGATATTCTAATTATGCTAAATTGTTATATTTAGTTGATGTTGCATTTTAGACTTCAAGTTGATAACCTTGAGAACCACTATGTTGTTGCTTTGTGTAAGCATGCTCCTATGTTGTTGCTTTATGTAAGCATGACCATATGTTGTTAAAATTGCATGAATGAGGTGATTGATGCTAGAAATGATCTTAGGTAGCTAGGATGCTCCCTGAGTCTCACCTTGACATAGACGTTAGGTGGAATGAACCACAATAATTAAATCATGCAACTTGTAAAACTTTAGGTCGATGTATGCTCATTCCCTACGAGTAGCTTTATGTTACTCACCCCTACGATACTGGGGCATATTTCAGGTATAGGATACAAGATTGGAGATTGCAATTGCTTGGGTGATTTGCTGAGTTGAGCTTCTTTAGAAGCATTCTTGTTCACATGCAAGTGTTAGCATGTTCATGATTTGTCTATGAAATATAATTTTTCTAACTTGGAGGTTTAACATGTCAAATGTTGTAAATGTATTGTAATGAGGCCATAGGCCATTGTAGCACATCTATTTTATCATATTACATACACTTGCATGCTCACTTTGGCAAACAATACCTTCCTTGATGAAACAAAAACCTAAAGTTGCATATTTTTTAGTTTAACCCTATTCTGTTTAAGGGGCATTTTGGGTATTTCACAATGTGTTTTTTTCATTTTTTCTCGTGAGTCACATAGAAAACTCAATTTTGAGGAGGGTTTCTTCTTTGTGTTTTTCCAGGAAACATCATCTTGGCCCTCCAAAATCAATATTTTTCTGAAAAATCCTTGCTGCCATGTTTTGCAAATTTTTAGTGCAAATGTAGTTAGTACTATTCATCGACTTTTTTTTTAAAATCGTCACGACCGATTCAAAACTTCCGGAGGCCTTGTGGGTGCATTTTAAGATTGCATTGTCAATTTAGGCAATTTAAAAACCTCCCGAAGCCCTATTTCCAAAACTTGGGCAGTAGCTCGGATTAGTTCTTTTCCTCTTGACCTGATTTTCTTGGGGGCATTTTGGGCCTTTTACAATGCATTTTTTTTGTTTCCGTTCGCGAACGGGGTAGGAAACTTGATTTTACAATGCATTGTAAGACGAATCTTGCATTTTACTGACGCACCAAGTTTACAAAACTTGGGCCGTCACAAATGGATGCCACAAAGCATACCATTGGAAGGAGAACAAAAAAAAAATACCAAGTTAGATGCAAGATTCATCTGATTTGGAGTCCGAACGGAAAAGATATAAAATTAAAATGAAGTGGCATTCTCCGATTGGGAGATACCACGACCCTATATTAATAAAACTGCAATAACTCTCACTACAGTTGGAGTTTTGGTGTGTAGTTGACACTATTGGAAAGCTAACTTCAAGCTCTTGAGATTAGACTTAACAATAACCTGATTTGGATTAGAAATGAAGGAGTTATGGCTCTCTAAAGTTGATACAACAAAG